GTCAGCTGGTCCATATGTCTCCCTCGCATCTTGTCTAGAGGTCTGGTGTTCTCGAGGACCGATAATACTGAAACCCACACAGTCAGCCATTTCATGTGTGCCAGTCCCATGACATATGCGGTCATCTCTGTGCATGACTGACCACCTGATGATGTGTTGGAGGTGAGGTTGCCCTGATGCACGGAAGTATCCACGTCATCTGGGCCATCGGCACGCGACGAAGTCACGTGTCGGCGCCTCGGCGCGTGCCGGCGGACGGTGTTGCCTTGGGATACGGGCCCGGCCGAGGCGGAGCCTATGAGAAGGGCGACGAGATCCACCAGAATGGCCATCAGTGGCGTCACGACAAGAAGCTGGCCCCGCACCGACAACACACAAAACAGACCACGGAAAGGGACACGGAGATGTATATGACGAAGGTGGTGCACCACTGAGTGCTTTCACCTGGACCAGCGGTGCCGATGACTTGTGCGGATCCTGATGCTGCCTTGGGACCAGATCTTCTGTGAGGAGGGAGCCGGTTTTTTTGGTAAATATCTCTCTGGGTAAATCTGTCGGGGGAGTCGTCTTCCGTCAAACACGACGAGACGAGGACAGCGGAGCCCGGACTGACACGCTGCCCCGAATGCACTTCGTTGTGTCTCCTTCATGCCACGTCCCCCTTTCCCCCCTGGCGCTATCGCTGGCTCTCTGTCTTCCTCTTCTGGCAGGTTCCCGCTTGGATGGGTTTGGTGAGGTCCCGATCGCCGTGGGTTTCAGATACAGTTGCCGACGTTGACAGGATCCACTCATAACTCATAACCTTGTTTTATTGGGCGTTCACTTTGGTTGTGTCGAATCATGAAATGCTCCCGCCACATGTCATGAGATTCACTTGCTGGTCACACTCTGTCTGTGTCAGCATCCGGCAATAAGCATACGGTAGCACATATGCAACCAGACAAATTAAGGGCGCTTCGAGTAGCTGGTGTCCGGCATAAACCCCGAAGTAACACAAGTCAAAGATGTCATGGGCTGCGCGCGCCCCTATACGTCTTGAAACAAGTTTGATGACGTGCCGCACGCACATCCAACACACGTACAATACAAGAGACAATCACATTCTACTTGTGCCCATCATACACACATTTCCGACATCATCGGGTCCTCTGCCCCCGACCCATGTGATCGACGAGTCGCGGATAGGCCTGAACAGCGACGATTAGAATTCATGCATAGCGTGGCGTTGCGAGCCTGTCACCTCATTGAAGTACTTGTCGTATACGCCGTGCTCCCAGTCTCGCCTGACGCGACGAATGAGGGCCTCAATGTTTTGCCCCGTGTTGCGCGCGAGATTAAGACCCTTGAAGGTAACGCCCTTTGCGGAGCTCGTCGGCAGCTTGGTCTCGCAAAACACACTAAAGAGATCACACACAGGTGGAAGAAGCGCGCGCGGTGTTCCGCAACACTTGCTGTTCTCTTCTTGCTCACACATGTCTGTTGACAACAGGGTCCATAAGTACACCATCCACTCCGTACACCATCATTGGAGTTTTGGTTGACGATGACAACACGGAGCACTTCTGCGTGTACAAGATTGAGACTCCGCCTCGGGATCTCGAAAACATTCTGCGGTTCCTCGTATTCACCCCTCCCACCGAGGACGAGCCCGCTCGTCAGGGTGGGTGTAAATGATGACCATCACGGCATACAAGAAATCATTCTGTGTCTGTGTATGTATCTGTTCAGCCGCGTGGTGAGGAACATGCCCTGCCCAGTGTGCACGATCCGCGATAATGGCCATTTGGCGGGCACAATGAAGCCCCGGGGCAACGGCCGGACAGGACTGTGGTGCAACTGCAAGAACAGGGGCAAGAAGACATGCACCTTCGAGTTGGATGAGTACCGGTAGATTCACCCTGCATTGAGCGGAGGTAAAATCAATTCGGTAAAACCGATGGTTTTTATTCTTTACAAGTAAGAGTTCTCTTGACCATCAGTAATGAGTCACACATCAATTACAAGGTCGCGACAGAAGAGTCGTGTTGAATGGAAGCAATTCTTCTACAAGAGAATGCAATTTGTACCGATTTTTACAACCGACAAATACGACAGTGACGTTAATTCACTCATTCGAAAGTCTGCGTTTTTTTTTCTGTTTACGAGTAACAACCTACCGGTCTTTCCTTTCGAGTATCGAGGAGAAACGCATGGGTTTCTCTGCTTTTGCGGTTTTTTTCACACACGGTATCTTCTGTTTGTCTCAATCTTCCCCCTCCACCCCCATCATTTATCGTAAGCGTGGCAGGTCTGCAAAAAAGACCTGCCGCTTGGGACGTGCGCGACACCATAAAAAAAGGCAGGCACAGGGCGTGGCAGGTAGGAAAAGGCGAGTGGAAGGGAGGCGTGAAGAGAAGCACGAAGGGAGACAGACTGGGATAGACGGCCAAGAAAGACATAATATGAATGGTACACCACCGGTATCCCACCGCTACTGGTGCGACACAAGCAAGGGCGAGGAGCGGCGGACCGGCTCCAACAGACCTTTAGCCCCCCGGGGGCTTTTTCGGTAGGGACGGCGGAGACCAACTTGAAGTCAGACATCTCTCGCACTTCTATCCTTCTGACCCATATTTAGCTGACCCGCTCAACATGCCCTATGCGCTGTATATACACTCACTGCATTCCCATCAGTCGACGTATCAACTAACAATAAAACACGCAAGGACACACACAAGCATGGGCACGACAAAAGCTTTGTGCTCACATGCTATGAATGCACTAATCAATGGCGCGCACATATGAATGCGGGAAGACCCGCATACCGGAGCACATATGTGGGAGCGTATGTGTATAAGCTGGAATACTGCGGCGCGGCCATCAGCACGGTGAGAGAAGGCTGCAATGCGGCCAAACGAAACACCAACACACCTGCCAGGCAGACACAGGAGCACTCAGACGAGTAGATCTGCGTGCCAGAATGCTGCGTGACGGCCATCGGCTCACCTGGCAATAGAGAGGGCGGCAATGCGGCTTAACGAAACATCAACACACCTGCCAGGCAGACACAGGAGCACTCAGACGAGTAGATCTGTGTGCCGGAGTGCTACATGACAGCCATCATCGCCTTCAATCGGTCTGTGGTCGACGCGCTCTATTCTGCCTGTGACTACTGACTCATGGAAGCTGACCTTTTGCAGCCCCCTCCCCCATTCAAGGGGGAGGGGGCGACACTGCGTCGTCCGCATCACCACCTCCCTTCGCTGTCTGCGCCCTGTCTTCAGTCACACACAAGTGCACCCGACATTTGGTTTCTGGGCCAGCCTCGCCGTTCACAAGCAAGCACCTCTTCATTCAGCTTCCCCAGATCTTCAAGAATCGCCGCCAAATTGCTTCGGACAGTGCCCAACTGCCTTTTGACGGATACCCTAAGGCTTAACCACTGGCCACTGGCGATCGCTAGATTGTTCGTTCGTTCGTTCGTTCGTTTGTTAACGGGCACCTAGGCCCCGGCCCCTGAGGGCAGATGGTGTGTCCAATCAATGCGTCCGTACGTCTAAGGTGGCCAGCGCTCAGATGAAAAATCGGCCACTGCTCGTTCTTGAAAAGGAAAGCAAGACACGTCGCCAGCCAACAGCACAGAACATCCAGACAGGAACAGCCAGACAGCAGAGGAAAGAGAGGCCAGAAGGGCAACAAAGCAGTCCAGCCTCAGGCGCAGAACGTGCAGGCAAGTAAAGATGCTGTGTCGATGAGATGCTGTCGATGAGATGATGTGTGTGTCCCCCTCACATCCCCCTCACACACTGGCTGAAGATGAAGTGACATAGCTGCCTAGTAGTGCACGCCCGCCCCATCACACACGACCGATCCACCCAAACCCAGATGCACAGAACAGCCAGACAGCAGAGGAAAGAGAGGCCAGAAGGGCAACAAAGCAGTCCAGCCTCAGGCGCAGAACG